CAAGATCAAAGACAAGGCTTGCTTCAAGTCTTTCTAAACATGAAGACTATTTTGTTCAGATTTAATATGCTCAAGAAATAACAAAACAATAAAACAAAAATTGTGAATCTTTTAACTCGGCTTTTTGTAACCCAAACAAGCAAAACACCCCAGTAATTAGATAAAACAGTCAAAACGGGAGCGGGGGGAGGGCGTCCAAAGGAGGGCCATGGAGATGATCAAAGGGCTGGAGAGCCTGCACTACGAGGAAAGGCTGAAGATGACAGATCTCTTCTCCCTGGAGAAGGCTCGGTGGGGGCTGCATCACAGTATTCCAGTACTCAAAGGGCAGCTACAAAGAGGACAGAGGCTCTCTCTTCACAAGGAGCCACATGAAGAAGACAAGGGGCGACAGCTACAAGTTACATGAGGCGAGATTTCATCTCAGTATGAGAAAGAAATTGATAACAATCATTGACTGGAACAACCTCCCCAGGGTTGTGGTGGAGTCCCTGTCACTGGAGGTGTTCAAGATGCAATTGGACAGGGTGCTAGATCATCTCTTCTAGGGTGCATTGCCCAGGAAAGGTTGGACCAGACAAACCTTCGAGGTCCCTTCCAACCTGGGCTGTTCTGTGATGATTCTATATGAACACTAGTACAATAAAGACTGAATTTTGTTGTTTCAACCATAATACCAGCATCTAATTCAGCTGTTCAGATGGGTCTAGATGCTTTTTTATGGTGTTTAACTCCTAATCAGTTCTAGGGTGCATTGCCCAGGAAAGGTTGGACCAGACAAACCTTCGAGGTCCCTTCCAACCTGGGCTGTTCTGTGATGATTCTATATGAACACTAGTACAATAAAGACTGAATTTTGTTGTTTCAACCATAATACCAGCATCTAATTCAGCTGTTCAGATGGGTCTAGATGCTTTTTTATGGTGTTTAACTCCTAATCAGTGAAATGAAATTATAGGGAGTTATGCCTGAAATATGAAAAAAAAAAAAAAAAATCACTATGAAAGACTGGAAACAAAAATATTCTAAGTTTAGGTTATTTTGGTGTTTTTCTTTCTTTTTTTAAAATACAAGTTTAGTCATTAGTGTCACAATTGAGTAATTTTAATCAATATTATTCACTTCCCCAAACAAAGGTACACTCTTCTAGCAATGTGTCCATCATTAGAAGCTTTACACCAAATTCAGCTGGTACAAGGACCTTCCCAAACAGTTACACATTCTCAACTGTTAAGTTCATAGTCCCCTGAATCTTTTACTGTATCCAGAAGTTTTCTGGTCGAACCCTGTATAACAAATCAACCTTGTATTGCCCAAATAAAAAGCTGCCCCCACCCTTAAAAAAAAAACAAAAAACCTAGATTTTTTCCCCAACCCACCACTTGCTTTATATTTGTCAGCTATGCCATCACGGTATTTGACCTAAGTCAGAGTGTGCTCTCTGTCCTTCAGTATGGATGACTGGAAACAAAAATATTCTAAGTTTAGGTTATTTTGGTGTTTTTCTTTCTTTTTTTAAAATACAAGTTTAGTCATTAGTGTCACAATTGAGTAATTTTAATCAATATTATTCACTTCCCCAAACAAAGGTACACTCTTCTAGCAATGTGTCCATCATTAGAAGCTTTACACCAAATTCAGCTGGTACAAGGACCTTCCCAAACAGTTACACATTCTCAACTGTTAAGTTCATAGTCCCCTGAATCTTTTACTGTATCCAGAAGTTTTCTGGTCGAACCCTGTATAACAAATCAACCTTGTATTGCCCAAATAAAAAGCTGCCCCCACCCTTAAAAAAAAAACAAAAAACCTAGATTTTTTCCCCAACCCACCACTTGCTTTATATTTGTCAGCTATGCCATCACGGTATTTGACCTAAGTCAGAGTGTGCTCTCTGTCCTTCAGAGCACACTTGCTAAGACAGCACATTCAAAGGAGGAGCATGCAGACAGGACCAAGTCTCAACTCTCTGCCCTGGTTTAGCATCCTGAGCACTATGCATTTGCAGTCATTACTTCACAAGAAGCCCAAGACATAAACATATTGCACACACAAAACCCAGGACAGCCACTTTGTTTAAAAGAATGAAGTGCAGCATTTCTCGGAGCAAATAACTCTTCTTAAGATAGATGTTAATTCACTTTCACAAAGGCTACTATAAGCCACAGTCTTTTCTCCATTTTAAAGTAGCAGGAAATTAAAACAAGGTGCACACACCTAATGTCTCTATATGAGAAACTGGGTTTCTTAATATCAAGGTAGCAGAGAATAGTCAAAGACACTCCACAGGGTCACTATATATTACCACAGAATTACACTCAGAACCTGTATGCTTAAGATACCTATAAACAAGTAGAAGGTAAAGGATGCTCTTCACATACTTCCATGCTCCTGGTAGGTTATGGATAACCACCAGTTCTTGTTCAAGAACTTTTCCATCAAAACTTGAGACTCTGCTGTTCACTGAACAGGCTCCTTTGCCTTCTGTTGATAACTGCAGTAAAGTATCCTTTAAATAAAACAAGCCTGTTACTAGTGTAAGTATTGGTCTCACAGGCAGAGACCTCTGACAAAGTCACGTAACAACCACAGAGGAATCTCAAAAGACGAGTTTCACACAACTGCCCAAAGGAACAGTGACAATTTATTAAGATCCTCTACAAAAATGCTCATTAACTAGTGCGTATTTGGCATTGAAAGTTTCCCTGCTCCACAAGGTCAAATAATCGTTGTGGGAGCCGGGTAAGGCTGTAAGTCTAAGCAATAGAATTGGCAGCACTGGCAACAACTTGATGAAGCAATAATCCTGATTCAAAGCCACACGTTTTTCTAGGTTATTAAAACACACAGTTTGGTTACTGTGAGTTTAATAGAAGCTTTTAGTACAGGAAGAAACTAATATCTTAAGAATAGTTAATGTGTTAAGCTTCCTTGCTCACTACAGCAGAATGGGAATTTACAACAACTCAAGAAGGTAAACCCAGAATCTTCTGTGCAGATACTCTCAATGTTTGGAAACCATCAGCCAGCTCTCAGATAATTCAGATACTGAATCCCGCAACCTGAAGCTCAACACCAGGTAAGTAGTAACAACCACACTCACAAAAATGCCTCCAAATAATGCACGGAGCTGCACCCCAGCAAAGCCTTCGGCCACGGGCAGGACTGTGCCAGACGTTCCCCTATAAAAGCTAACTCGTTCCCTATTCCCTCAAGCAACATTTCGCATCAAAACCTCGCAGCTGACCAACAGCCTAGGCCATTTCTGAACACCACGCTGAAGAGTTCACCCAGGAAGTAAATTTTATGCAAAGTTCTGGGCATCGATGGAAGCTTAAGGGCAACAAAGTACAGTTCCCCTGACAGGTTATAACCCTGCAGAAGCTGAAGTGCCAGAAAGCTAACGCAAACCAACAAAACAAGCCTGGAAGCATCAAACACTGAAGGGGAAGAGCCAAGGCGACAAGCCACAAAACGCATCCGCAGGGATGCTAAACCGGC